ATTTTTTATAAAGTTATAAATGAACATCCGTTAAATTTAAAATTTTGTACAAACTTTACAAAGCCATGGCCTGAACTAAAAAAACTGCCAACAAATTCTGTTTACAGCGTTCGAAAGAGCGAATCTTTACCTTTAATTTGCTTTTTCGTTGAGCGTTGTACTATTTTTTTTCACCAAGTTATTCATGAAGTAAAAGAGGTCGTTTTTGCTTCAAACAACTTCGTGAAAAAAAATCGTACAACGCTCAATAAAAAAGGAAATTAAAGATACAGATTCACTCTTTCGAAAGCCGTAAATAGAATGTGTTTGTGATTTTTAATTCAGGCCATGGAACTTTGTAAATTTCGTACAAAATTTTTATATTCAACCGATTTCCATTTGTATGTCTATATCTTCACAAAAGAAAGTCGAATTTTTATATTCCTATAACTATTACAAAGTTAATCAGATCGAAATATTAATTATTGATATTGAAAGTAGAGACTTCAAGCTTTAAAATACTTTTTTTAAAAGTCTTGTTACACTCACATGAATATTATTTTTGGAGCACAGACTACGTGATCTTTTAATTTTTTTGCGTAGTGTATAATAAAAAACAAAATAAGCTATGTGTTTACAGCTATGACAAACTATCAAATTATATAATAATATATTAAAACATTTAATTTTTTTTTCCTTGGAAGAAGATAGTTTTCGGTAACTACTGTATCTCCTGATAAGTCTATTCTATCGGTAGGAAGCGTTACTTTATTTTTAAAAAATTCTGTTCAAGTATAATTTGCATTTTATTATGTGTTTTCTTGCTTCTGATGTTATACAATCTAGTGGCGATAGTAACAGTGAGTGAACAGGTGTCTTAAATATTATCTTTACGTGCTTCTAATCAATCTCTCTTCTAGTCCATAGATCTTGATAAATATCTACATCCTGGAGAACAGGCGCTACTTAATAAAATATTAGATTTTGTGAAGAAATGTAACGTCATACGAAATTTTATATACAGCAAAAATACAAAAGGTTTGATGAAAAATTTGATGAAATATATTTTATGCAATTGACATGATTGTCTCATGTTTAATTTAACCATTTTATATTTTATAGAATATGTAACTCCTGGTCTTTATATACATGCTCTTTTCGATGGAATGGATCAAGCACTAGAGCCATTTCGTAAAGAAATAATTGAATTGGAGAATACAGTCTTAAACGACAATCATACTCCACTGTCGTTAATTCTGTGCAGCGTTGAAAAATACACTTGTCTATTTTCCGTATTGCATTCTATTATTCGTGAGGTCATTATACATTTCTTCAAGAAATATATTACATTAGTTGGTTTCAGTATGATTCCATTTTTTTTTCAGATCGATGTATGTGTTTTCTCCGTTACAATTGTGTCATCATGTTTGCTATTTCATATATGCAGAATATTTTTTTGTTTGGGAATGTTTTTAACTCTAGGGAGTTATGTGGCACATTTACATCTAGACTTTAAAGAAATTTCCTTTTTTATTATAACTACCATCCTGTTTGTTTTAGCGAATAATAAATATATGTTTTATATGATTCTAAATGTATTAATCATGTACAGAATAATAATCAAAATTACACAAAGCATTCTTGTGATTAAATGTATATTGAATCCAACAACTACTATTATGAAATATTTATGCGCTGACACAGAAAGATGTTGCCAACTAATTTTTTCGTTTCAGATTCGTACACAGAAATTCCATGGTTGTAAATTGTTGCAATGTTTACATCAGCGTATGCATACCGGCATACCCGAGATCAACGCCACTCTAGAATTGTAAGAGATTTATAATGAAATTCAACACTATTTGCCTTATGATACTTGTCTACTCGCTTTTAGGATGGCCCATTCTGTTCATATGGTTTTTTACAAGCATTTAACAAGCTGGCTCTTATATGGGCATCTAGAAGATCCTCACAAGGAATTTTTTATACAAAAAATATCGGGTTGCGAGAAAGCTTTGATGCATGAGGATAGGAAGAACATTGATGTACGTGAATCAATAAATGATAAAAAGATTGATGTTGATATGTGGGACTACAATGTACAGATGGACATGCTTCCATCTTACATCAAGCCATCGTTGGCAAATAAAATCTTGACTATCGGTCAGACCGTCATTATGTTCGGAAATGATCCCAGACAGAAAAAAGGTAAAAAAAAATTGATAATTTTTAATTACTTAAAAAGGAAAGTACCTTGTTATAATTATTATAAGCAAATATATATATATATATACAAGTGCAGCTATACGCAATAATTATGAAGAGCTAAATGTCTTTAGATTTTAGCATGATACCCAAAACAGAAAATTCTGTATGGGGTGATAAAGAGTACAAGTACTTCAGGAAACTTCAGAATCTTCAGGCGAAGTCAGTTTTCAACATCGTTGAGTTTGATCGCACAATCAATGAATTGAAACAGTGTGTGACCGAACTTTTGTGGCATGTTGCCGTTGAAGAGGCGCAGCTGATGCAACAACTCAGGCTGGTAAAAGAATTCTTCCTCATGGGACGCGGTGATCTTTTCTTGGAATTAATCAAGCTCACGACGCACATTCTGAATAAGGCACCAACAAGTCATACATCCAGAGACATTAATCTTGCGTTTCAAATGGCACTGAGAAAGATACACCTAAACGATGAAAGCGCTATCGACAGCTTTAATTTTGTAGTGCCTGCGCTACCTTCTGAGAACGAGGACGCCAACACGGATGCCACTGATCTCTTTGATAACGAAAAACAAGATCCTAATGGTGCATATTTGTGTCACAAGATTTTTCTAAAATATTTAAAGACAAGACAAACAAATTTTTTATTTTAGAGAAACGCGGATGGGGCATGATCACATTGAAGTACAAGGTTGTCTGGCCACTACATTTGTTGTTTAATCCGGTAGCGTTAAACGATTACAATACATTGTTTCGCTTCCTGTTGAGAGTTAAAAAGACCCAGATAGAGTTGTGGAATCTCTGGAGTGAACACATGCATCACAAAGACTTGTAAGTGTATTTATATTTATTATAAGATAATTAACATTTTTATTCAAAATTACTATAACAAAACTTATATTCGCAGTGACATAGGCGTGATCCAATTAAGAAATAATTTGATTTTTATCGTCGATAACTTGCAGTATTATTTGCAAGTAGATGTGGTGGAAAGTCAATACGCTATAATGGAAGCGAATATGAAGAACACACGAAATTTTGAAGATATACAAAAGGCACATTCGATGTTTCTGGCTAACGTTATGTCACAAACTTTTTTACTAGGCAGCGGAACAGGAAAAAAAAATCCCGTAAATTTCATTAAAATTATTTATAAAATTCAAAAAAATTTTTATGCAAAATGTCACAGATTTAACGAATCATCTTTCGTACATCATTTTTTTATTGATTTTGTACTCTATCATTGTCATCCTGGTATCATGAATATTTTCAACAGGTGAACAAGCTGATACACTTTTTATTACGACTGTGCGATAATTTCATCTTACAAGCATCCATGTGGGAAGTTGGTAATTTGCTCATAACGGAAAAAGATGAACTCAAAACGTTATGCGAAACACTCGATAGCGTAATGGATTGGTTGACAAAAACATTGAATAGAGTACGTGCGCAACCCAGTGGCGAACATTTGGCTCGATTGCTATTAAGATTAGATTTCAACAGATGGTTCAGTAAAAAGATTTGAAGGAATAAAAGAAAATCATGTAGTGAATTACATGTATATTGCTGTATACTGCTAAAATAGAACATAATATTACGTTTTTCTCGTAAAGATTGTTTTATTGTGGAATACAATAATATTCAATTAAGAATACATAACAACAAGCAAAATAACACTATTATTATTACTTTTCATTATAGCTATTTATGTAAAAAAATTTGAAAAATGAGTTTTAACTAATTTAAAAAGACATTCCAGTCTGATATTCTTTTTGCAAAGATCTTGTCATATATTTCAACTATTTCGAGTCTATAATATTTCTTCAAATTTACTTTTTCTGTATCATTGTACAATCAACTTGTATAATCATTACAGTAATTATTAATATATATAATTTTCATATGACTTTGTTATAATATTCTTTTTACGAATAACTTTAATATTCATTTTGAATGAATGCTAATAATGGAAGTACGCTGAATATTTGTTGAGGTCCTTTTTTGAAAAATTCTAATTTAATTCTGAACTAGTGTAATAAGTTAAAATGAGAAATAAGCTATAAGGTGTGTACCTGAGCCGAACAAGGCCTATCTACTTTATTTTATTTTTTTTTTATTCTATTTATAGGAGGATATTGAAATAAACTAAATGAGAATCTAATCTTCATTTCATTCACTCACAAAAGTAAAATATATTATTTATATAGAATATTTTGTAAATGAAAGAACAATTTCGTTACTCTGACATTGGGCCTTATTACATGCATATAAATATAATAAGGCTCAAATAAAAATAAATTAAAAATAATAAAGAAAGTAAACATTATCTTTCTAAATCAGTTTTAAAATGATTATTAATCGTAAAAAGGAAATTCCTTAGGACTTCCTCTACACTCTCAAAATTATAATTATCTTTAATTTTGTTTGTAATTAACTCTTTAGTCTTTAGCAATTTTAAGCAATTTGAATGCAATTTTGGCTTCTTAAAAGATAACAGTATTGAAAATCGTTATTCTCTGGCGTAAACTCCATACATAACGAACAAATAATAACAGCTTTATAATAATCACATTATAACAATTACATAAGAGCCTTATTTAATAAGTACATTGTTTAAACAAAATATTTATACTCATTTCAAAAAATTGATTTGTTATTTTCCATAGCTAGGAAATTGAATAATATAATGAATTATAATAAATTATGAAACATTGCGTACTGATAAATTTTTCAGCAGATTGTTATAAAAATGGCATACACATAAGTTTTGGTATTAAATAAACATGTTGCTATCTCTCTTGATTCCAATTCTTTAATACCTTTTAATCTACTTCTTATGACACATCTTTTAAAACCAATATTACATGCGTCCGTTTTTGTCGTACGACGAATTTTTTAAGCGTGTTAATTGGCTGCAAGACAGAGAGGATCTCGGACCTCTGTCCTATAGCCAATCAACAGGTTTGAAAAAATTTGTCGTACGGCAAAAAAAACGGACGCTTGTAATATTGGCCTAAGCATATACTGCAGGCGTAAAGCGATCGTTTTAAGAAATGTTATTGTCGTCAAACTAGAGAGAAACCTGAGAGGCCCTACCGGCCTTTTTCTTGTTACTTTCCCGTCGAAATCACTCGTACATTACCGCCAGTACATCCATTTGCTGACACTGTCGATAAAATCGTATCGTTGAAAGTGGATGTATTACATCCGTAGGATAGAAGCGTGCCGACTATCCCTCCATGTGGATATTCAGTAGATATGCATATATTCCTTAAATGTATACATAGTAGAACTTTTATTTAGTTTATAAGAAAAATGACAAATTACTATGCATAAATAAACGATCTATGTAATACATAGATAATACATAAAGATTCATGGGCATGTACACACATATATATATAGGTCAAGTTCCATCATATACAATCATTAGAAACAAGGAATGTTTTAAGAAATACTTGGACATTATTATCAAATTGTGCATAACAAGATAAATTACATACAATGATGTTGGATAGAGTTGCAAATTGATGTATCGCTATTTTGTAATATATTTACCAGATTTTTAAGTGGCACAGGTGTATTTACAAGCCCTTATGGCTATACAATTCTATCATCATAATATCAGTCCAATGACTCACATAGTCAAATGCACTGTAACACGTCTATTTCGCGATTGATACATCTCAATATAGAAAATTACCTAAATCTTTTTCCTTGCTACTTTCATAAATAACACCATGTCTGAAATACATAAAAATATTGATGCAATTTAAATGATAATTCAGCTACTAATATTTTTATAACCTACTAGCAACAATATAACATCACGTAATTTAGAAATTCGAGTAATAAATAAGGAAATTTCAGCCCCATTGTCCTAGAAAACATTTGAATAATTAACATATGAAATACTCACTAAAAAATACAAACAGAACGAAAGCTATCATAAGCCACACCCAGCACCTCCATTTTGAGTTAGTATGCTCTTCTAATTTCAGGGATTCCTTCTTTAAATTAATAGCATTTACATCAGTCAATTTATCAGACATTTCCAGCATGCCAATATCCTTTTTTATGATAGCACTAGCTGCTAATGCGTGTTCCTTCATAGTGCTGGTCATGGAGAGCATATTCTCAGCGATCTTCTCCTGAATATTACGATTATACTTCAAAATAGCATCTAGATCTTCATCTTTGATATTAGAGCTCGATAATCTCTGTCGTACACCATCCTTATTTGCTTCTGTAAGATATAACGAGATTTAATGTCGAGAATTATATGTAAAAATCTATCTTACATGTCTATAATACATGTTTGTTGTAAAAATCTATTTTATAATTACACGTTCCATACTGTGTGGATCACCAATGATGCATGGTAGACTTTCTGTTCAGGCTGAGTTATGTTCAAATTCCCATCTGACAAGTGCCATCTATAATATATATCATTTTATCCTTGTTCACTAAATGTTAAACAAAGATAAAATAATACTTGAGTAGCATTCAGGTGGGAATCTGATTGTACCCTTGTTTGATATTTTGATTATAAACAGAAAGAACATTATATATAAACTAATTTTTCTATATATTACACAGATATGTAATTATGATATATGATGCATATTGATTAGGCCTTTTTTATAATAATTTTTGTAATTTTTAACTATTATGAAATACATGTTATTTAACAAATATAACAAATATAACAAACAAAAATACCGTGGGTCATCGGTGAGCTACGTGGCGTAGTCAAGTCACTTAAAACTGGACCAGCATGGGATGTACCATATATAAGTTACCTCTATTGCTATGAAATAATTCCTCCCGTAATTCCCGATTGTATTTAGCGACAGTCTTCTGATGTATTTGCGTTGTAATATTTGTACTGGCGGAATTGTTAGTGGACATTGAATTTTTTGATAACAATTGTGCGGCAACCACTCTCTCCACTGGATTTGACAACTTCATTGCATTTATGACTCCTTTTAAAAAATTTATCCGCTTAATGTAGCCCATCATGGTGTCCTTAGATGGTTTACTATAAATTCCACTTTTTAATGCTACATAAACATTATTAATATTGTGAATATAATAATAATTAGATATAATTTTGAAAATATGCAGGTTGTCTTAGACTTTGCACAAGTGCAGTTAACAAGTAAAATCCCGAAGTTATTTCAAGATGAAAATCCAAATCTTGAGGCTAACAGTTTTCAAATAAGAAATGTTTAAAGTTTACCATTGAAATTATCATATTTTTAAAAAATGTCACCTGCTTTCTTACAAAAGTCATTTCATTAAAATATTTCTTGTTTAAAAATTATTATAACTTCGACATTTTGGATTTTCATTTTGAAATAATCTGTAAGCCTGTACTGTAATTCCTAATATCAATGTTATTATTGTTATATTGTTATTATTGCTTAACAGCTCGTTTAATATATATTAACAACTGTTGTTAAGTTACAGAATACATATACAGAAGAGTTTGCTATTAATTATTGTCAAGTTTGAGGACATTTTGCATGTCTAATGTGACCAGATATTTTTGAATCTAAAGCAGGATTGGAATGTTATCAAGCGAGAAAGAATGTATGGATGTAAAGATAAATATATTAATAGCAATTTATTTTTTAAAAAATAATGCAATTATTTATAATTATGATTTTAAATTATCTGGTTTAATAAGGATGATGAATCCTTAAGAAATATCTATATAAAATTCTTAGCAGCTGAAATAAAAATTAACTCTTGTTATTAATATTGCTTTTAAAATATAAACTCAAAGTTGAGTTTTTTTGTTGTCCACATTTTGTTTATTTCAGAAAAAAATTTATTCAACTGCTGAAATACTTCTTGGAAACAGTATGTATTGTATTTTATAATTTGAAAAGATTTATAAAATATTTCTGAATAAAAATATTTTTGCTAGTTTTGTTAAACTTAAGATACCTAACATGTTTGATGGGACAGAGGAACAAGCATTTCAAAAGCAGGATCGTCCTGTCAAAATCATCTGATCACATTGTGTGTACATTATGTGTGTACATATACTATAATATGTAAGTATATTAATAATAAACAATACATATATTTTATAACTAAAACTATATTACTTCGGTGAAATCTGTAGTTTGTTCACCATGTCATCTAGAGAAAGTATATACTGAAACAAAGAATTTACATAAACAAAACTTGTACAATTCATAAGTATTTATAGTGCAATATAAATATTATGTATGTCGTAAATCTTATGTGTGTATTATAAATTATATAATAAGACTTATATAATAAATTTCCAATTTCCTAAAAAGAAATCAGTTACAAAAATAACTCTACATTCATATATAAGCATATGTTGAGTCATAAATATTATAATAAATACTACAATTATCTATTGAAATTATCTCAATGTTATTATTTACTTTAAGCAATTGTATGAGGTTATCCTCATAATAAAACTGTAACATATATTAAATAAAAACATGATAGAAAAACAGAAATTAGAAATAGCTCTCGCACTTTTTCGAGCTTCCAATCTTTGTGTGGATCATCCTTCGCTATTAATTCGCAGCGTGTTAAAAGTCGCTTGACGTTGATTTCCAGCCTGGTCATTTGAATCATTTGGCATATATTTGATTTGATGACAAGGAAAGTTTCGTGCTCTACAATACTCCGTTCACATATGCAAACGTATGTCACGTACAATGTTGCCAACCAGTGTGTTGGACGGGCCGGGTTTTTGGCGCATGCGCGACGGTGAGGCAGCGAACACGTTGGGTGCATCCATAAACACGATCGCTCACTGAGCGCTTAGTGAGCTCTTGTATCTGATTGACATAGGCCGGTATTCATAGTCAGATCTTATATTCAAGATCGTCTTAAGTACAGTCTTAAGAAGTCACAAACCAATCAGAGGGCCGTATTAGCTTCTTAAAACATTACTTAAGACAATCTTGAAATAAGAACAGACTATGAATACCGCCCATATTCCATTAGAGCTAAAAATATAGACCAAACAGGTACAAGAACTCACTGAGCGCTCAACGAGTGATCGTGCTTCTGGATGCACCCAATGGGCTCATTCAGCGGACTCAACAGTTGAGTGAGCGCTCGCTGTTATTGGTGTATTCTTTTAGATCATCCAATCATAATTTTAGATCTAGAAGAATACGTCAATAGCAGCGAACGCTCACTCAACTGTTGAGTCCGCTGAATGCAGCCAATGGTTGCGTTCAACAGCTCAACTGTGTGGAGCGGATCCGTGAGCGCTCGCTGCTATTGGTGTATTCTTGTTGATTATCCAATAGCAGCGAGAGCTCACTGATCCGCTCGGCAACAGTTGAATCTGCTGAACGCGACCATTGAGTGCATTCAGTACTACAATCGCTCACTGAGCGCTCAGTAAGCTCTTGCATTTGATTGGCATATTCCGTTAGAACTAAAAATATAGACCAAACAGATTCAAGAGTTCACTGAGCGCTCATTCAGCGATTGTAGTACTAAATACACTCATAGTTTCATCCATGGCTGCGTTCGGAAACATTATCCGAGTGCCTCTGTGTATCATTTTATCCTTGTTGTTCACCCAATGTTAAATAAGGAAAGATAATACCCAGAGACATCATAGAGGAGTGATGTTTCTGAACGCAGCCCATGTATGAAACCACGTTAATATAAAGCTGGTTCTACATTGATTACATCACAGCATCGCAAACGTGTCGCAAGCATTGCGGTCCAATCAGAGTCGAGCTAGCTTGACGTTGATTGGACCACAACACTTGCGACGCTGCGATGCTGCGATGCGACTAATGTAGAACCAGCTTAATACGTTGAGTTTGATACGTGCCCAACCCTGATTGCCAGCAGATTGACTGGCTACCGATAATAACGATATTAGTATATATAATTAGTACTCCAGACCGCCACTGAGGGAGTTGGTTTGTCGGCGACACTGGGCCGATCCGACTGGGCGTCGCGCGTCGGGCGAGCCGAGCATTGCGAGCAGGGCGAGGCCAAAAAAGCAAAAAGAAAGAAAACGTAACTGGTCGATCAGTGAGTCAGTAACGATCAACAGTAGTGTAGCGCGGCTGCGTGGCATAGCGCAGTAGTAACAAAAAGAATAGCAGCTGTATCGTCATCGGTTATCATGGGCAAACGGAATAGCGAGGATTTGGATCAGGATGTACAGGAGCGAATGCTGAAGGAGGACAGCACCGCGAAGATCGCGACTGAGAAGGATGAGAAGACCACCGAGGTGAGAATCTCCTTCGTGGATCGTCTCGCTTCTACGGTTTCGATTTACCTATATAAGATTCTAATCTGGTAATTATTTAGAATATCCCCCATCCGCTTCAATTTTGATGAAATTAGGTTCCACGCGTTTTTGTATGAAACCAAAGAACCTGGCAGAAAAAAGTCGCTCTGCCCCGTAAATCGAAATTAATCATTAAAGTTGACGATTGTTCAGGTTAGGAAATCTGTTACAGTCATGAAAAGAAGGACTCTTCTCTATTCTTGCTATGTGTAAAAAGTACAGTCGTGTGGAATCGTTCGTGGGTTTTCTATTTGGCACGCAAAGCGATATTCAATTTTATAAAATTGACTTTGGTTTTGCGGGCTAGCGAGGAGGGAACTGGCGGAAGCCCTTCGCACATACATTCTTATATCAATGGCTGCATTCAGTAGAATTTTTTAGTTTATTTTGCAACTGTTGGATGTTTTCTTCGCGCTGATTGGATTGTATTTTTAGATCTAGGAGAATAATCCTATCTCAGAATTGCCATCCGTCCTCTTTTCCCCGGACGCCCTCTTTTTTTGTCCTCATTTTTTGGGCATCCGGAGACGGCCCGGAGGATTTTCCAAAAGTGTCCGAGATAATTATGAGCGATAATTATTTGGAACACCTTTGAAAAAATTTCTCCGAACGTTTTCAGATATCTTGTAAAAGGACGATATTCGCCGTCCGGGGAAAAAAAAGAGGTCGGATACGGCAACCTCAATCTCAGTAGACAATCATAAAACAGTTGCACAACAGTTGAGTCTGCTGAACGCAGCCGGCTCCCGTCTCTCGAAGTTGTAAAAGGTGATGCAATGCCCGTGAAAATGGCGAAGCCCGTTCGGATTCCGGACACTGGGCGCTCCGAGTCTACGACCCTACGACTGCCTACGACTTACGACGTCGAATTGTCGAAACGCCGCACGGACGCTCGTCGGGACGAACGGACGGGTCGTCCAAAATTCCAAAACCGCGGGACAGCTATATGTTTATCAAGGCACAGTCTAAGCAACATTTTCAAACATACAAGATAAAAGTACCCGAGCCGAGATGCATCTGCCGCAGACTAGTGGTTCTTCAGAACCACTCTTCTTATCTTACATGTAACTACATACATACATACTTTACGATGTCCTCCCTCTTCCTTCTCCCCTTCGCCGGCGTGGGGGAGGCAGGAGAGAGACGAAATTTTCCGCAATCATCGTAAAGTACATGTATGTGCAAAGGTTTCCCGTTCCACTTTCTTCATAAAACCAAAGGCAATTTTTTAAAATTAAATCTTGCTTTGCGTGCCAAGTTGGAAACCCACGAATAATTCCACACAGGGCAACTTACAACTTTTCACACATTGCAAGAACAGAGAAGGATCTTTTTCATGGCTGTAATAGTTTTCCTAACTTGAACAGTCGTCAATTTAAACGATTAAAAAAAATGAAACAAATTTGTAATTTCCAAAATAAAATAAAAAATTAATATTGATGTAATGACTAATGGGAATTAGCGTTGTAGGTGGTATACAATGAATGTATATTTTTTCTTTAAAATTTAAATGATTGAAACAATTAATATCTCGGTTTACGGGGCAGAGCGACACCACGACACTTCTTTCTTTCTGCTAGATTCTTTCATTTCATACAAAAACGCATCAAATGAGCCTAATCAAAATTGAAGTTGCGGGGGTGTTCTGAATAATTACCCCTCCTTTCCTTCCTCTCCCTCTCTCATTTCACATATATGTATACGCGTGTAATGAGCAACTAATTGTAGCGAGCTCACCCCTCGTGTCACTTGAGCCGCCCCTGCTATCTTCTGTACTCGTTTCGTAATTCACTAACTACTTTTCCTTCTAATTTAAAAACTAAGCATCGGATAAAATAAGAAAGAAAATATCGTCTTAGAGTTTTGTCAGAAATACAGTATTTCAATATCAAACATCCTATTATAGTTGCGTTCTGTTATATACTGTGAGTCAAGGAATTTAAATTTTCTCTTGGAAAAATTAGGATAAGTTTTGCGCCTTCTGCACTTAGACGCAGACAAAACGCCCCAAGACACACAGCGTGGATTCCGTTTGTGACCCGTGTGCAGAGTTAACTAGTCGGCTTCTCCGAGGAAAATTTTACTCGAGATATTTCGTCGTTAAAATTTTCCTTGGAGAAAGCATTAATCGCGCGAATGAACTCTTTACACGAGCTACAAACGGAATCGGCTATGATAGCTATGACCAACCATGACCATGTTGGGACTTGGGAGATATCTTAATTTGAAGTCTCAACACCCTTTTTCACAAAAGAAAGGTATAATTCTTGGAATGATGGATAGAGTTTTTTTTATTTCACGTCCTGACTTCCATGAAAAAAATCTAGAACATGTCGTGAGAATTTTACTGGACAATGACTATTCATTATATGGGGTCTACAATAGAAGTCGTAGCAGTCGTAGGGTCTTAAGTCGTAACAAATTTACCAATCGTAGTCGATTATTCTTCTCATATTCGACTATAATTGGTTAATTTTCTATAACTTAAGACCCTACGATCTCTATTGTAGACCTCGTATAAATCTATTTTTTAAGTTTTCAATCTTATATACTTTAATTATAACGAATTATAATTAAAGTTATATACTGATTTAATTTGAGTGTAAACGTAAAATGCAAATATTTCAAATTATAAAATACATATTTTACTTTACAGCGCAATAAAATTTATTGAGGACTTCACAGGTTTAAAAGTTTGACTCGTTTTTATATTAGTATTAAACATATTTTTACGTCAATGTACAGTGGCTTTAACAACATCAGTGCACACTGAGTGTGATCAATCGAATTTGCTATTAGTTATTAAACTCGGTATTGTTTGTTCACGTAATCCGATAGGTGATGCACGTCGTTTTGTCCATACGAGCTATAAAACTTTTGTATTAAAGAAACATCTACGTTAGGTGACAGCTCTACGAATTGAAAAATAAGTAGATTTTTTAATTTTTTTTATTTTAGTATGAAGTTTACTGCACCACCTCCCAATTTTGCGTCTACTTTAATCCTGTAAAAGGATTTTTTTTAATCCGTTAGTCAATTCGGAGATTTTTAGAACTGTAATGACTCAATAATTTAATCCAGCATTCCCTTAAGAAAATTCTCTATTCATCCCTCTGCGTATTTTTGAAGTTAGCCCGGATCCTCATACAGACAACAGCGCTTTGAACGCTGATTGGTGAAGAATGGGTGATGAGTGTAAATTTTTTTTACCCTCACAACTAGGTTTTCACTAATCAGAGCTCGGTGTCAAAGCGCTGTTTGTATGAGAATCTAGGCTTATTATTCATATCTTTTTCCCGTAAGTTTAAAAAAAAAAATTTTTTTCGTGTTTTACAAATAATTGTTATTACATTTAAAGGTCTTAATCTTTTGATGAGACCATCCAGCGTGCCAATTGGTTATGGGAAAATACATATTTAAAAATACATAGTGTGTAGTTTGACCATTAGAATCTGCGTGGCGGATGAAATGTTACACGGTGAAATGTAATT